CTCTTATACTGAAGTTCCTGCCACTTTCATGTGAGTAAGCCATCACATGCGGCCGGGCAACAGAATTCAGCTTGCAGGCAGCCATGGTAAGCCCTAGGGGCATGTGGGTTTCTGCTTCTTCCGCATTCATTTCAATACTTTCAAACTGCCGGGCCCCCTTTCCCATAGCAAGCAATGTCTGATGGGATGATCACTTCACACAACACCCTCCCCCCACACACACACACCCACCGCGTGGCTCCGATAAGGCTCTAAGCAGGGATGAGCCCTTTAAACTAAACGTGAACAGCCCAGCATGGCTGGGTTTCTCCCCACCCCCCACCGCGTGGCTCCGATCAAGCTCTCACTCACCAGAAATGCCTTCTCCAGGGTCATGGTCCGGGAGCATGCCTTGGGAGTGGGGGGAGGCTATTGGCTCCAGTGTTAAGAGTAGTTCCTGGCTAGGGGGGAAAACAGATTCCCCACTTGCCGCCTGCGCACGGTCCTCCTCCTCCTCTCTTTCGTCCTCCAAAAACTCATCCTCCTCGCTCTGTGCTACTCCCCCCTTGCAGGTGTCCACGGACAGTGGTGGGGTAGTGGTGGCATCACCTCCCATAATTGCATGCAGCTCACGGTAGAAGTGGCATGTATGGGGCTGTAACCCAGAGCGCCTGTTTGCCTCCCTGGCTTTTTGGTACACTTGTCTGAGCTCCTTGATTTTTGTACTACACTGCTCTGTGTCCCTGGTGTAGCCGCTTTCCGTCATGGCCCTGGAGACTTTAGCGTACGTATTTGTGTTTCTTTTTTTGGACTGTAGTTCTGCCATAACAGATTCATGTCCCCAACATGCAATGAGATCCAGTACCTCCCGTTCGGACCATGCTGGAGCTCGTCTGCAAATCCGGGACTGCGTGGTCTCTTGTGATGGTGGACTCTGCATGGTCGCCTGTGATGGTGGACTGTGCTGATGGTCATCTGTGCTGATGGTGACCAAACAGGAAAATTCAGACGTTCCTGGGGCTTTTACTGCCTACCTGGCTAGTGCATCGGAGTTCAGAGTGTTGTCCAGAGCGGTCACAAGGGAGCATTCTGGGATAGCTCCCGGATGCCAATATCGTCAAATTGCGTCCACAGTACCTGTAACCCGGAACTGCAATCTCGATTTTAGCACTACTCCACTTGCCGAGGTGGAGTACAGAAATCGGATTAAAGAGCCCTTTAAATCGAAAAAACTCGTTTGGTCGTGTGGACGGAATCAGTTTTATTTCAAAGTAACTTGGCTAATTCCAAAATAACCGCGTACTGTAGACCAGGCCTAAGACTAAGAAGTGTCTCAGTTTTAGTCCAGACGTGAGGGATAGCTGCACAGTCATTTTCCCCAGTATAGCTTGCAATGCCCTATCACTCCTGAAACACTGCTGGGGGGGACCTCCTGGGTGAATAACTTCACGGTGTATCTGACTGTTCTGCCCTTTTCCTTTTTGAATAAGGCCATTCTCTGCCTCCTAATCACCCACCTCAGTGTCAAGTCATAAAGAATCAGGACAGCCTAAAGGGGATGTAGAGAAGATTACTATCCCAGTCTCCCCCAGATTTCCTCTGCTAACCTCTCAACACCAGATGGCTCAAGAACAGGAAGATGCAGAATTGAGGCGTATGCTCACCTGTGACTTGAATCCCCCCCTGCCCTTGTGTTCTGCCCTCCACTGCACTGTGTAACTTTGAATTTTGGTTTCATTGTTGTTTTAATTAAAGGTTTATTTCTGGTTGCTATGTAATAGATTGAATATTTAACTATTTTTATTATTATACATAGAGTTGTCAATGCATTTTAATCAGAAAATCCCTAAATTTTAAATAATAGGGTTTTCCAAAATATTGAGTCACAGACACAAGGTAAAATAAGGATTGTCACAGTGGTCCACTTTCATTGCCCATAAACAAGACTTGCATTCCCCACAATTCATCCCACTCAAGCCTGTCCGCAGGTTAACAGCTGGATGTACAGCTGTACATTTTCAGGCCTCATACTCAAAGTAGGAACAGTAGGCATCCCTGACAGTATTGCCCTGGCTTTTTCCATTTTCTATTGGATTACTTGTTGGCTGTTCAAACTGCTGAGCAAGTCCCTGCACCTCAGCCTCCCACTCATCATTAAGGCTTTCTCCCTTACTCTCACAGATATTGTGCAAATACAACATGGAGCGATCACCTTTCTGCAGCTTCCAACCTACTCCACAAACAATATCACTGTCCTTTCGAACGGGCAAATGCACGCTCCACTGCCATTCTGCAACTACTGAGGCATAGGCGCTGTCTTTATGAGTTACTGTGGGGTACTTGACCCCCATTCCGCCCCAGGGCCCATTCTGTCCCTTCCTCCAAACCCCCACCCCACCCTGCTCTTCCTTCCCCTGCTCCACCCCTTCCCTTGAGTGCCCTCACTCCTCATGCACACCGCTAAACAGCTGATCTGCAATGGGCGGGAGGCACTGAGGGGTAGGAGGAGCAGCTGATTGGCGGTGCTGCCAGTGGGTGCTGAGCACCCGCTCTTTTTTTCTGTGGGTGCTCCAGCCCCGGAGCACGCATGGAGTCAGAACCTATGTACTGATGTGGTAAACAGTTTTCTCCTTCTGTCCGTGTGGCCTGTGAATGACTTCATTAACCAGGGAACCAGAGGATAAACCAGGTCTCCCAGGATAATTGGAGTAGTCTCCACACCATTCATGTCCATAGTGATCCTGGGGGAAAACAGTCCTTTATTCATGAAGGTAAATAGAGCTGAATTCCAAAAGATACTATCATTGTGGACCCTTCCAGACTCTGCATTTTATGTTTGTAAACCTGCCTCCATGGTCAACCAGCCCTTGGAACACCATGGAGGAATATCTCTTTTTGTTTATAAATTCTGAGCCCTGCAGTGGTGGGGATACACAAATAATAGGCACATTGGTCTCATCAGTTGCCCCAATACAGTGTGGGAACCCCATATATGCAAAGTCATCAATAATCTCCTGAGCATTATCAAGCTTTATAACCTGGTGGAACAGTACCTTATTCAGGGCATCACATAACTGCATGACAATGGCCCCAACAGTAGATCTCCTTACACCAAATTAATTGGCTATGGATGGTAACATTTGGGAGTGACCAGCTTCAAGGTGTCAGTGGCAACTTGCTTCTCCATGAATATGAGATGCTGCATGTTGGTAAGCTGCTGTTGCAGCTCCAGGGCTAGTTCAGCACATATTTCAAAAAAGGTTGCCTTTCCCATCCTGAAATTCTCTTGCCACGGCAGATCATCCCAGGTCTGCCAAACAATCCTTTTCCACCAATTGACGCTGGTTTTCCGAGCCCAGAAACAATGCTGCATGTTGTGAAGCTGCTCCAGGAACAGCTCCTTTAGTAGCAGTTCCTTGGTGTCTTCCTCTTCTTCCTTGTCCTGTGTAAGGAATTATTTTAAAATTTGAACCTGCCTGGCTTCCCCTATGCCTCCTCCAGTGAACAGTGAGAAAAATCCCAGAATGCATGCTGCTCAACAAAGTACCCTCTGAGAATGTCATGTGCTTAGTATGCAGCAAGCTGCTGCCATGTGTATGCAATGATGAGAATTGAAAGAGAGTCCAGCCATCCTGTGTGTGCATGCTATTAGTGTGGCTTGCATACTGTGTGTTAAATAATGTGCACCAAATCAATCTGGTTTAAATCCTCTGTGTAGACAAGCCCTAAGCGAACTCCATATCTTATAATATTTGTGTACCACCATGATATCTGAATTTGCTTTCTTTGAAGCACTATGGAAACTGGTATATTTGTTGGAGACTAATTGTGAGTGCTTGAATGTAAGTGGGCAGTATAAACAACATTGAGAAAGTCTGTCGTTTTGTGAATGGAACCTTATAGGCATGATCCCATGCACTATGTGGCAAGGCCTCTATATCCTGCAGCATTGCGGTGCAACAGACTCGAAATTCTGTGGCAGCTTCAGTTACATTTTTTAAATGGAAGTTTTTATTGAGTTAAATATGAATAATGCAGTTAGTATAATATTCCTTGTGTTATTTCACTTTGTCCCTCCATTTGCCCCGTTCTGCAAAGTCATGTCCTGATGCATAGTAGAAATTGTCTTGGGGAAGTTGAAGGTTTTGGTAACTGGATAGGGAGTGTTTGGAATCTGCGGAGGCATGAGAGGCAGTTGTAGATTTTGGTGGGGGCGGGGGAGTAAATGCATTAGTTGGAATTGCGACTAAAACTATTAGTAGTGAAATACTAAACAATGTTGACATTTAAATTGTCATCTTAGGTTTCATAGTTAATTTCATATGAATGAGGCAATTCACCCCTCCCAACTGCGCTGATTTACATTTTTAAATTGTTTTGTAATTTTTTTAACCATAAACACTAAGAACTTAATGTTTCAAGAATGAAAACTAATATGATGCACAGTTCCATGCATGTGGTGGGCTCTGTAGAAAATTCTGCAGCCGTGGAATACCAGGGCATAGTTTATGAACACTCAGTTTACTGTCCTTTGCCTGCACCTTAAGAGTTAGGCCAGGTCTACACTAGGAGCGCTTTGACAGTATAGCTATGCTAGTATAGTATCATGGCAAGATGCTCCTAATGTGGACACAGCTTTTACTGGCAATATTGAATTTTTGGTGGGATAGCTTATTCCAGACCACCTGAGCAAAATAAGCTATACTGCCAAAGTAACACCCTTGGCTGACACAGCAAAAGTTTGTATGTAGTCCTGGCCCTAGTGCAGACATCACTTACCCTGACAAAACGTGTTTTTGCCAGTATAGTTTATACTGGTTCCATGAATGAAATAATGCTGGTATAACTGTGTCCACACTAGGGTTTTTGCCAGCATAGAAATGTTGCCAAAAAAACCCCACACCCCTAACTGATATTACTACATCTGCAAAAGTTTCTAGTGTAAACCTGGCCTTAGTGTTACCTCACGCCTCAGCTCCTTCTGGGTCTTAATTTCATTGTCCAACTGTACTTCCCACCAGGTGAACATCAGATGGAGTTGCTTGACTACGTAGCAGCCAAGTTCCATGAGGAAGCTGGCATCTTCAAGCTATTGGTATGAGCCTTTAGGTCATTTTACTCTTCTGCATCAGCTTAATGCTTTCATGATAATTTCCTCTTTTCCTCCTTCCTTTTCTTTCACTACATTTATTTATTTCGTATCTTTACCATGCAGATCATTGACTCCATAATGGCACTCTTCCGTGTAGATTTCAGTGGCCGTGGAGAGCTGGCTGAACGGCAACAGAAACTTGCTCAGATGCTATCAAGGCTTCAGAAAATCTCAGAAGGTAGGGGGGACCTTGCAGGAAAAGTGAAAAATGTATTGGAACTACTGTGAAAAGGCAGTTGGTAGCCCAGCATTACCACATGGTAGCCCCAATGAATTTAATGGTAGACATTGCCCAATTAATCTTTCCTTGCCTTACACAACCACTTACTAACAAAAATGTGATACTTAGTTAGAAATCATGTGACTTCAATTTGACCAATTGGCCTCCAGGATTCTTCAACATTCTGAGGCATCTCAGAATTATTCTTATTTGTATTTCAGTAGCACGTATAAGCCCCGGTTGAGAGAATTGGGACATTGTTCAAACATAGTAAGAGACAGTTCCTGTCTTGAAGAATTTACAGTCTAAATAGACAAGAAAGACAAATGGTGGAAGGAAAAACAGAAGCAGAAGGGGTAAAGTGACTTACCCATTGTCACAGTCTATTAGCAATATTGGAATGTTGTGATGGTTTATTACTGGCTGAGTAGGAAGTTACATTTTCCCCCATTTTTTGAACGTTTCACTACAACTGGTGAAGGGAGTGACAGAGGTTCTTTCCATACAATAAATTTTAAAAAGTTAACAGTTTAAAAAAAAAAAAAAGGTTAGGATGGGTTTTCCAAAGGAGCTCAGTGCTGGCCTAACTGCTCCCACTTTGGGTTCAAATGGAAGAAGAATTAAGCTAGCTCTGATCGCTTTTAAAAATTCTATCCCTAATTAGTCCAAGCCATCAGAAAGATAGGCAGGAGTGTTCTGTTGTTTGTGATATGGGTGCTGGACCTGACAATCGGAAAGTGTCTCCCTTGTGGCACTCATGAGACAATATGCATGAATTGTAGTGTGATCTCTTCCCCTTCCTTTAGGTCTTTATATTGTTCTTTATTGCAGAATATAATGTGGCTGTGTTTGTGACCAATCAGATGACTGCTGATCCAGGAGCAACTATGACGTAAGCCACGTGTTCTTCTCTTTTTCTTTTAAATTTCTCCTCTTGCACTAAACCAGGGGTGGCCAACGTGTGGCTCCGGAGCCACATGCGGCTCTTCAGAAGTTAATATGCGGCTCCTTGTAGAGGCACCGACTCCGGGGCTGGAGCTACAGGCGCCAACTTTCCAATGTGCTGGGGGGTGCTCACTGCTCAACCCCTGGCTCTGCCACAGGCCCTTCCCGCCCCCTCCCCTGAGCCTGCCATGCCCTTGCTCCTCTCCCTCCCTCTCCCCCCAGAGCCTCCTGCATGCCACGAAACAGCTGATCAGGAGATGTGTGGAGGGAGGGAAGGAGGGGGAGGTGCTGATTGGCGGAGCTGCCGGTGGGCCGGCGGGAGGCGCTGGGAGCTGGGGTAGGGGGGAACTGATGCGGGGCTGCTAATGTATTACGGTGTCTCTTTGGCAATATACATTGGTAAATTCTGGCTCCTTCTCAGGCTCAGGTTGGCCACCTCTGCATTAAACACTTAATAGATATGGGAAATGGATTTTTGTTGGGAAGGGCAAGCTCAGGTGTGATGATGCACCCTACATCTTTAAACAGGTTTAATACTGGGCTGTGATTTGTTGAGGCCATGTTTACACTAGCAAGATTACAAGTGCACAGCTGTATCAATGCAGCTGCGCTGCTATAAAATTGCTTGTGTAGCTGCTCTATGCCGATGGGAGAGAGCTCTCCTGTCGACATAATAAAACCACCTCAATGAGCACTGGTAGGTATGTCGGCAGGAGAAGATCTTTCGCCGACATAGCGCTGTGCACACTCCCAGTTACACCAGTGAAACTTATGATGCTCAGGGGTATATTTTTCACTCCTCTGAGCAACATAACATTTTACCAACGTAAGTGGTAGTGTAAACATGACCTGAGAGGTACTGGCTGCATCAATCACAAGACACTTTAAGATTGGGTGTGAATGAACTCTTCAAATAACAACTGTTAGGTGGGTTATCAGAAACTCCCCACCTAAGACAAAAGGTGGCTGTGGAACGTGCCCAGAAGTGCAGACTGAGTGAGCATAGGGGTTTTACTGAGTATCACTTAGTGTATGTGTGGTGGGGGTCGGGGTGGGGGGCTTGAAACAAGGTAGGTGAGGTAATATCTTTTATTGGACCAACTTCTGTTGGTGAGAGAGACAAACTTTCGAGCTTACACAAGAGCTCTTTGTCAGGTCAGGGAAATGTACTCGGAGTATCACAACTAAATACAAGGACAAATACCATAAATCCAGTGCCTCTATTCAATTCATGACTTTTAGTGTCTAGTAAAGTTATGAATTTAAGCTCCCAGGCTCATCTTTTGAAGGTGTTGTGCAGGTTTCCTTTGAGGATGAGGACTGATAGTTCAGACATAGAGTGATCACTTTGTCAAAAGTGTTCACCCACAGGCGATAGGCTATTTTTGTCTTTTATCATTTTTCTGTGGGAGTTCATTCAAGAGTGTAGTGATTGTCTGGTTTCACACATGTAGTTGTTATTGGGACATTTGGTGCACTGGATGAGGTACACCATAAATTGTGATAAGCATGTGTAGGACCCATGGATCTTGAAAGGTGTGTTGTGGGGTGTGTTGATCACTATAGCAGTGGATATATGTCTGCAGGTTTTGCGTCTGTTGTTCTGGCAGGGTCTGGTGCTGCTTTGAGTTGGTGTGTCCTGGTCTGTGGGGAGTTTGCTTCTGATGATGAGCTTGGAGAGGTTGGAGGTGTTGTTTGAAGGCCAGACGAGGGGATCCAATAAAGATTTATTTCAGGATAGGGTCCCCATCGAGTATGGTTGTTGTAGTTTGATGATACTCTGTATGGTTTCCAGTGTGGGATGGTAGGTGACAACTAGGAGTGTGCGGTCGGAGGAGATTTTATTTCTGTATTGAAGCAGCTTTTCTTGGGGTATTTGGGTGGCCAGTTCCATGATTTGATCTACTTCTCTGGTGGAGTGTTCTTGTTTTGGTGAAGGTGGTTTTGAGTGCGTTAATGTGTATATCCCAGACTTTCTTCTCAGAGCATATTCTGTGGTATCTGAGTGCCTGGCTCTAGATAACAGATTTCTTGGTATGTTTGGGGTGGTTACAGGATCTATGAAGATAAGTGTGGTGATCCACGGCTTTCTTGTATCTAGCTGTCTGTAGGGTTCCATTGTTGAAGTTGATCGTGGTGTCCAGCAAGTTGATGCTAGTAGGGGAGTGTTCCAGAGAGAGCTTAATGGACAGGTGGTGGTTGTTGAAGTTGTTGTGGAAGTCTGTGAGTGAGTTTAAATTGTGTGTCCAGAGTATGAAAATATCATTGATGTATCTCAGGTATATCATTAGTTTCGTGGTGCATTTGTCCAGAAATTCTTCTTAAACGTGGCCTATGAAGAGGTTGGTGTATTGGGGAGCCATCCTAGTAACCATGGCTGTGCCATGGTTTGGACAAAGTATTTGTTGTTGAGTGTAAAATTATTATGGGTGAGGATGTAATGGAAGAGTTTGGTGATGTATTTGGAGTGGATATCTGAGGGTTGTCCATTGTCTTGTAAATATTTGAGTCAGACAGCTGTGTGAGGGAAGGCAGAACATTCAGAAACTGAGAACAGAGAAAAACTGAGAGAGAGGCAGAGGCAAAAAGCAAGAAATTGAAGCCGTAGCCTGTAAGTACTATATACAAACCTGGAAAAATGCTAGAGAGAGAGCTTTTAGGTTTGGTGTTGGCTAAGGAGGCTTGTGGCTGTAAGCTAAGAAAGTGCTCCATTTGTTCTTGGTTTGTCCAGCATTTGGAGAAGCAGGATTTTGTATGTTACTTGTAAATAAAGAAGATTGCATCAAAGAGAATACCAGATGCCACTAATTTCTACTTCCAACTGAGACAACCCCAGGGCCTGAAGTTTGACTAGCCACTCAGGTCAAAAAGGGGCAACAGATCATTCACAAATTACACTCATGGGTTTCTCTGAGTCTTTAAATTCTTTTCCTTTCATTGTCCATGCCCTGTCTGTCATGATGACCCCTTTCACCATGAGTTGAACTTAGAAAACATATCACAAGAAATGTTGAAAATTTTGAGCAGAATTGTTGTGGAACCAGTTTAGTGCAAAGATTAAGGGTGAGATTTCTCAAAACATTCAGTGTTGGCCTAACTTTGCGCCTGTTGAAGTCCATGTGAGCAGAGTTAGGCCAACACTGAGCACTTTTGAAAACCACACCTAAGAGCATACATGTAGTAAAAACTTAGACCTGGTCTACACTAGGAAATTAGGTTGGTATAACTACATTGCCCCAGGGTTGTGAAAAATTCACATCCCTGAGCGATGCAGTTAAATTGATGTAACCTTGGTGTAAACAGTGCTAGATCTATGGGAGAATTCTCCTGTCTCATGGAGGTGGAGTACCTATGCCAACGGGAGAACCTCTTCTGTTGGCATAGGAAGTATCTTCACTGAAGCACTACAGTGGAGCAACTGCAGCGGTGTTGCTGCGCCACTGCATTGTTTTAAGTATAGACAGGCCCTTTGCTAAATCCTCTTGTTACACATCCATTCATCTGATATCATCATGTCTTGTCTGATGACTTATTATGATTGTTAGCCTATGGAATTCACCAAGAGAAACTTAATAATTATTTTTTGTTAATTTAGTTTTCAGGCAGACCCTAAGAAGCCCATTGGCGGCCACATCCTTGCTCATGCTTCAACCACAAGGATTAGTTTGCGGAAGGGAAGGGGGGAGTTGCGTATTGCCAAGATATATGACAGGTAAACACCTCTCTTTTGTGGGACAGGAGTTATATTGGGTGGATGGTTAATAGCTGACATAGCTCATGCTACTGGAACATGATAGCATCGTAGCTGGTTGCTGAGTTCCAAATGAATCCTGCTTCTGAATGACATCTTGAGAAAACAATGCACAAGAAAATTAACTAGGAGACCTAGATTGAAATTCTTTACTTGTGACCTAAGTCACAAGTAAAAGAAATTAGAGAGGTCTCATCATAATTGCCAGTAGAGATTTGTCTCTATTAGGAAACTACTAAACAATTTGGTATAACTGGCAATCTCTGCCCAGAGGATGTCCAGGACTGGAACAATAGAGAGTTCTGTGGATCAGGATTTAAATCAGGTCACCCATGAAGGGGGCAGGTCAGGACTGAGGCCATGTGTACACTACGTATTTTGCTCGACACAAGTTATGTCGGTGAACAGTCACCAAAGTTTGTATATTGGTTAGGCGTGTACATACTTGGCTGCTTGTGTTGGCCTGCACATACTCATCAGGAGTGCATGTGTCAAAGTAAAGTGCAGTGCACCACCAGTAGATATCGCAGTGTGTCTTGTGCCATCATCTGGGGCAATGCCTTTTGGGATATTTTTGCAGTGTTTTGTGGATAGTAATGATTCACGCAGGGATCTCTGGGAGCTAAGGATCAAGTTCCCAGCATGCAACTTTCTGCATCCCATAATGCCATTCATAGCCCATAATTTCCATGCTGTTTTTTAGAAATCCTACACACCCCCATGGCACTTTTCAGTCTCTGTTATCTTTGACAGAAGCACAGCGCCTGCAGAGCTCTGCACTATTCTCATGAACATTGCAAATACAGGACAGCACAATTCTCCTGTATTTGCAGAACCTCCAGAAATACCGCAACAACTGGGGACATGAGGATTTCCTTTAGGACAGTTTGCTTAGGGATGTAGCCAAAGACAATTGAAGGTTGTTGGTGGGTGTAAATGGAGAAGCTGCAGATCGTGGAATGCTGCTTCTGGTCCTGAGAAATGAGCACTGACTGGCTCCCATTGTAGTGCACGTTCGGAACAGTAAGCAGTGACTGCAGAGCTTTTGGATGCAGAAGGCCACATTCCTGGATCTATGTGCCAAGCTTGCCCCACCCTCCAGCACAGGGACACCAGAATGAGAATTGCACTAACAGTGGAGAAGCAAGTGGTGATCACACTGTGGAAGCTTGCAACACCAGCTTGCTAGCAGTCAATGGGAAATCATTTTGGAGTTGGAAAATCTACTGGGGGCTATTATCATGCAAGTGTGTAGGGCCATTAATCGCCTCCTACAGTGTAAGACTGAGACTCTTTGCAATCTGCAGGACACAGTGGATGGATTTGCAGCAGTGGAGTTCCTGAATTGCAGTGGGGTGATAGATGGCATGCATATTCCTGTTTTGGCCCAGTCCCACCTTGCCACAGAGCACATCGATAGAAGTGCTACTTTTCTCTGGTTATACAGGCGCTGGTGGATCACTGGGGATACGTCACCAATATCAGTGTTAGCTAGTCAGGGAATCAGGTTTCAGAGTAGCAGCCGTGTTAGTCTGTATTCGCAAAAAGGAGTACTAGTGGCACCTTAGAGACACGGAATGTGCATGATGCTTGCATCTTTAAGAACACAGGACTGTTCAGAAAGCTGCAAGCAGGGACATTCTTTCTCATTTGGCTGGTTACCATTGTAAATATTCAAATGCCAGTAGTTTCCAGATTCTGGAGGACCCAGCCTACCCCTTGCTCCTCTGGCTCATGAAGCCAAACACTAGTCAACTTGATAACACCAAGGAAAGATTCAGCTACCAGCTCAGTAGGTGCAGAATGACAATTGAATGTGCTTTTGGTAGACTGGAGGGATGCTGGTTGTGTTTACATGCTAGATTGGATCTCAGTGAGAAAATATCCCAATGTTTATAACTGCCTGTTGGGTCCTCTTAATATCAGTGAGGCAAATGCAAAAGGAGCAAAAGGAAAAGCTGCTTCCTGGGTGGAGGTGGAACGACTGTACACTGACTTTGACCAGCCAGGCACAAGGGCTATTACAAGACTGCTGCATGGAGCTATACAATTGAAGGAGGCTTTGAAAGAGCACTTTAATGGTCAGCCACAGTAGTCTTCTGTGCTGGAGTGTTTGAGCCTGCAGCTTTGAGTGCTGCTAAGAATTGTGTAATGCTTGCTACTGCACATTTATAAATATGACTGGGTGTTTTTCTGAAGCTATGAATTCTGTGGTGCTTAATGTGCATTTACAAGTACTGTTTGCTTTGACTGCTGCTATGAATTCTGCAATATTTGTTGTAAACTAATAAAGTTCCAAAAATAGAACTTACTGAGTGGGAAAAAACAGTGCAGAAAATCAATGTGCAAATAAAACCATAGGCAATGTTATACACATTTTTAACATAACTTAATGGGGTGAAAATTTAAAATGAGAAAGGAGGTAAATATTTATGTCCATTTGAATAAACAAATGTTGTCTGTTGCGGCTACATGTACACCAGTCGTGGTTCTCACAGGTCAATGTATGTGAAGCTGTGGTTTTCCTTGCAGACCCCCAGCGTGAACTGGTAGGCTAATGTCGTGCCCCATGATGCCATGTCATATGTTTGAGAGTGCAGGGAGTAGTGACCATGGAATTCTCCAAGCCTGCAAAGGATGGAGAGTCCAGGATTTTTGAACCTGTATGTCAGCTAGGGTCAGCAGTGTTTCGCTTTGCTGCCTGAGAAGACCCATTATGTACTGGTGCATTTCCTGCTCCTTATCCTATGGGGAATCTTGGGCCTTTCCCCCGTCCTCTCTATAGTGTTGGCGATACTGGCCTTCCAAGCCGCTTGCAACACTGGCTTGCAGGATTCTGCATAAGTGTCTTCCCTAGTTCTCTTCCTCCTCCTCCTCATCGAGGTCAGGCATTCACCAGGCATGGAGGGGGTACCCCTCAAGGCTGTCACACCAGAAGCTGTGATAAAAACAGGCAAATATACCATTGGATTTACAGTCACAAGGGACAGGGAAAGATACATTTTCCCAACTCCCTTCCCTTATTCTGATAAATATGTTTAATAAGAAATGCTTAAGAAACACTTCAGCTTTGGAGTGCCTGGGCAAAACACTGCTTTCCAGCCCCACCTGTGGTAAGTAAGGTCCACCAACGACAAAAGAGGGAAGGATTTTCTGTTGTGTGAAGCTATAAAATTTCAGTCCCTATTCGTTGGGTATGAATATAGGATAATTGCACTGAACACTGGCACTATTTTTCACAGGCTGTAGTGATTTCTCACTTCTGAGGGTCACAAGCGCATAGAGAACACAGCTGCTACTGCTGTCCCAAAGCCACCCAGGCCCATATGCTGCTAGCCTGTTTATTGCAATGGTGCCAGCCAAACTCATCACAGACTGGCATGGGAAAGCAGCCTACTGTGGAGGAAGAAATAAGGCAGCCAAGTCCTGGCCTCCCTAGCCCCAGCAGCACTGAAGAGGAGCAGCCTGCCTGGGCTGGGGCCAAGGGGGAAAGAGCAAGTAGGAGGGGGCTTTGGGGAGGAGCATGTGCGGGGCCACAGAAGGCTGTTTGGGGAGGCATAGCCTTCCCCAGCCTATTGGATGTGTCGCCCATGTTGCACAGCCTATTCTCCTCACAGGCCCAGGAGATCCAGTGACTGCTGTCTGTTCCAGGCAGAAGTACATCTAGTGCATGGAGCTGGTGTGGTTGGTTGGGTGGTTGCATGCAAGGGAGAGCTGCTAGGTTTGCTGTCCAAGCTGGGCAATCAGAAAATGGCATTTTAAAAAAATACTCAGGGAGCTTTAAAAGGGGGAGTGGCTTCCAGTTTCTGTGACCCCCTGGCAGTGGTGCTGGAACCAAGGGGGCCATGCCCACCCCCCACTTTTACCAATGGGAGGGCCACACCTGCTCACCTTTTAACATGAGTGTAGTAACCTCAGGCAGGCACAGCAGGGGCTGCGCTTTGCAGCGGGGGAGCTTATAAGGTGATCGGCTCCCCTGCCGCAAAGCACAGCCCCTGCCAGTGGCACCGGCTTCTTCCCAGTAGGGGGGCTGAGTTGGGCTTTAGCCCCCCCCTCACCATGGAGCCCTGCTCCTCCTCTTCCTCCTGAGGCCCTGCTCCCTGGCCAGGCCGGAAGCTGGAACCCGGCTGTGCTAAGAGTCACCCAAGGAGCCCAGGCCGCTGTGGGCAGCCTCAGATCCTCCACCTGCCCCAGACAGCGCGTCGTGGGGTCGGGGACATGGGCTGGGGGCTGCTCTCAGGCACCCTGGATCCCTGCCCAGGGCAGGTGGAGGGTCTGGAGCTCCCACAGCATCGTGGGCTCCCTGGGCAGCGGGTCCCATAGACTGGCGAAGGCTGTGCCTCCCCAAACAGCCAGGTGAGGCCCTGCTCCCTGCCTGCAGCAGCGCCACAGCTCCACTCCTGCTCCAGCCCCCACAGTGCTCCAGCTGGGGCTGGGGAGGCTGCAGCCACCCGCCACCCCCTCCCATGCTCTGGGGCTGGGGCCGTGCACCACTGCCGCTCTGGAAGCTGGGGTCGCACGCCCTCCCAAGCTCCGGAGCTGAGGAGGCTGTGGTTGCATGCCTCCCGGCGCTCCAGGGCTGGGGGGCTAGCCCGGGGTGAGATTGGGCCAGGGGGTGGGGGCGTCCTCTGGGCTCCGGTGGGGGTGGAATGGGCGGGGCCTCAGGTGGAAGGGGCAGGGCTGGGGCTAGCCTCCCCCAGCTGGCGGTTCATGCGCCGCCCATGCTGGGCAGGTATCACTGCCTGGATCTGGCCTGGTCGGGATCTCAGGGGAAGAGGAGGAGCAGGGGCGGGGCCATAGTGCCAGTGGCTCCCCCCCCCCACTTCTGTACAGGTTCTGGAGTTTCTGCCCCCTGTGCAGTGGAACTTACAGTTGTGACCAGAGCGGTCACTGTTGCAGGGAATGGGGGATTGCGGGGACAGCTGCTGGAGACTGTTAGGGTTGACAAAAGTCATGCAGTGTCTATATTTGCACTGTGTTGACCTCAGTAGGTCAACCACGGCTCTGTGCCATTTGGGGAGGTGATTTTACTGCATTGCCATAACAAGGAGCTTATGTCAGCCAGAGATAAATTTTAGTTTAATGCAAGCACTAATAGGTTGATGCAAGGTGACTTAAGTTGACCTAACTTTGTAGTGTAGACCAGGCCTTAGTTGTATTGGGCAGAGATGTGTGGAGATTCAAGGTGGTGATGTGGCAAACCTAGGATATGGAGGGAAAGCTTCCATAGCCAAAACTGTTTGGTTCTGCCACATCACTTAAAAAAAAAATTGGAAACCACTCTAAACAGAAAATCTAAACAAAAATATATGCACTTTTGTGTACAATTCGCTCCAGTCTGTATTTTTGAAACGTTTAAAATAAAGTGGTGTACAGACTTGGTGTTTACCCTCTGCACAGGGATGGATTTCGCACTTTTTGGTCATAAATCCTGATGGACAATTTCTATAATTTACAACTAAGAACATGAACTTTGAGGTATTCTACCTGATAAAATCTTGGATACTGCATCATGACTACATTTTACACAGAGAACAGCCATTTTCTTGCTTCTTTCTTTTCCCAGCCCTGAGATGCCTGAAAATGAAGCTACATTTGCAATAACTGCTGGAGGGATTGGGGATGCCAAAGAGTAGATGGAAAACTGGTGCAAATCTCCGTTTGAAAACAACCCGTGCACCTCAGATGAAGCCATGATATCCAAGGTCTGACTCCTTGGTTACTTAGTGTTTTTCATACACAATTTGGAAAGTTTAGAATTAGAGGGATGCTGGGAAGAGCTTTTTAGGTATCATATTTCAATAATCTTAACAGTTCCTGGTTCACCTTAGTGCTATTTTAAAATGATCTTTCAAGCAGCCAGAAGTTGAAAAAGCACAGAAATGTGACTTATTCAAGGAATACCTTCCTTATTGTTCAGGAGAAGCAAAGCTGTTTTGTCACATCGGCTTAATGTGCACTTTTTATAGTTTCTCGGGAAAGGAATGTCTGTGGAATAGAATATAATGGCATGGAATGGAACAGCACTGAAACATAGTTTTTACAAAATAATGAGTAACTAGTACACAGAGGGAAAGTGCAGTGAAAGAGAGATAAGAATAGGTGAACTTACTAATGTTTCATTGACAGTAGAGGAATGATAGTTGCTTGAAAAGATTTTTAGAAATCTTGATTAGATTATTTATTTGTTTTTAAAGTGCCTGTATTTCTGTTTTGGAATATTTAAAGCTCTTGTCTATTTTTCATATCTATGAAAAATGCTAAATTAAAATGTTTCTCTTCTTTATACTTGTGTGCAATACAGCCAACACATAGTTTGAGTGAGACCCTGGTTCTACCCTGTGAGTAGTCTTGCTGATTTTGTTGTGAGAACTTGCATGGGTAAACTAAATGGGATATAGCCCAACATTATTATTTTTAAAAAATATTTAAAATATTAAGAAACACTATGTTTAACACTTTGGGGGGGATTCTTCAATTTTTCATCTTACTTCAGCTGCTATCTATGAGGGTCCCAGGCTGCAGAGATCCTCTCTGCAACTGAGGAGAGCCAGATGGGATGGGGCTAACTGGTGACTGACAACACTATTAAGATTGGTCAATGAGACAAAAGCAACACAGCTTCTCCACTTGCTCTAAGCTGGTGGTTTCCAAACTTTTTCAGAGTAAAGAACATGTTAATAAGCAAGATTATTTTGTGGACCACCTCCTTTCCATTCACAATCACATAATATCCCTGTGGCCATAACAGCAATTGCTCTCTTAGCAAATATTAGGATGTTATATATTTTTTCACCACCTTTCAATACAATACAAGGAAGAGACTCAGCACCAGGTGATGAGTTAGTGATAACAAATCTCATGAAACACAAGATAGAAGACTCCATGAAGCCTATGGGACACCACCTTGAGCACAAAGCTGCGGAGAGTCCACTCTAGACACTCTCTCTCTTAAGATGTCAACCAAAACAGGAAAAAATTTGAGAACCACTAGACTACAGGGTTTGGTCCTGTGTTTGGATCAAAGGTTGGCAAAATATAAGCTCTTGATATC